TTGTGTCTAAAGCCAAGAGGTGACTTAAACAGCAAAACGCAGGACAAAATTTTGAAAGTATACAGGAAAATGTAATGGAGAAGCAGATTAGCTTAAATCTATCGAACAATTTCGGAGCAGAGAAAAACAAACCCGTTTTCGGATAGTTTAAAAATTGCACACTTATCGGCGACTAAAAAACGCCTTCAGATTCGAATGCTTACAACTTCAGTTACACCAACCGCGGATGGCATATACAAATTATTGAAGGTGTTTCAGAGTCCGAATCCGTTTTCCGTGGACTGCCGACTAAGCGTTTGCGCATTGATTATGATTCATTTTATTACACATGCGGTTCAATATTGAGAAGGTGACCCTACTCTTAACCACATGGCTGTGAATTTAAATGTAATGATTACTATCCATGAAGTCATAAAGCGTACACAACATTATACACAACCAAAAGAGTCCAAAATAATTGAGGGGCTGGGAGGACAAAGCTCATAAGTGTAGTTTTTGCTATTTCGAGAATTTCATGTTTTAAGTTTCCAAATTACATGGATCCTTATGGCGGATAGAAAGTTCAAACTAACTTTTTGATGCTTAAAAATTGGAATTTGGGACCAAATTTTTCTCTCTACGTCTTATTTCAAAGTAGAAGAACGCAGACGGCTGGATCAGATTGTGTATTTTATGTCCCTTGATTGGGTCATCGTATTTTGAAGCAAAACTCAAAGAGTTGCCGTTTACAAGATCGCAACTTACTCAAAAGCGGTCGTAAATTTAAAATGTATCGCACGGATAAAATGAGCTTTCGTTGATTAACTGTTAATAATCAAAATTGAAGAAAAGGTACTTTGTCCACTGGTCCATTAGGAAAGCGTAAATCATGGATGGAGCATCGATGACCAATTATATCTTATCTGATAAGGAATTTTAAGTGTGAAACATACATCCAAGAAGGAGGGGCTAACAAACATATGTTAGCCCCTTCTTCTTGGATACCATGGTGCCAGCTAGCACACTCGCGAGTTCGTGAAATGTCATCAATAATCTGTGTTAGGTTCGGTTAAGCAACTAAACTAACTTCTTGGCAAAGCGGAGAGGATCGCTGGATTTGAAAGCGTTCCAAGCTGAGGTCGTGCCTTGAATTTCTCCGCTAAAGAAACAGAAACTTTTACTATATCGATGTTATCGTAATTACAATTTGACGAATTGACAAGTACGGCGCTTGCAAATTGCCGGCAATTGCTGACTAGCCAAAGCCGGGGGTCACTCCCCTGGCCCCTAAGGAGCCTAAGCCGGGAGTCGCCCCCCTGGCCCCTAAGGACCCAAAGCCGGTCGCCACCCCCCTGGCCCCTAAGGAGCCAAAGCCGGGGGCCGCCCACCTGGCAACTAAGGAGCCTAAGAACGAACGTTATCAGAGTTCACGAACAGAAAAAGCTAGAGAGGCGTCATCATTTAGCGAACGGAAGTAGTCGTAAGTCAAGGTAAAAGAAACGTAAGGCATATGATCCGCCCGACTACTCGAAACGCATCTCCTTTTTCTTAGAGTCCCTTTATACTGAGAGTCAAGACAATTTGAATCCATTTCTGATTGGTTACCGTATTTTAGGCCTCCACAGTGTCACAAACGGGAATAAAGATTACATTTTTACGAATTGCAAAGATTATAGTCTGGAATGGACCAGGGAATTACGGGTTCGGCAAGGAACAAACGGAATGAGAGGAGGAACGGAGAAAGGCATTTGAGAATGGGCCGATCAAAGATTACGAAAAACGTTCAATTTCTGTAATCTTTATTCCCGTTTGTGACATCCATGAGCCGAATTGTCTTGACTCTCAGTAAAGGGACTCTACTTTTTCTCGTCACTAATGCCGCGGCGGGAGATTTGAATTAAGGGGCTTGGAGGAGGAGCGGATAGGTGCTGTTTTTGAAAAAATGAGAAATTAATGATTTCAAGTGAAACTAGTCTGAATGCAAGTTCTGTGAAAAATTCGCCCCCAAATTCCAATTTTTAAGCATCGAAAAGTCAATTTCAACTTTCTCTCCGCCATGAGGATCCATGAAGTTCCGAAACTTCAAACACGTATTTCTCGAAATAGCAAAAACTGCACTTATGCGCCTTGTCCTTCAATTCCAACAACTTTGCAGTCTCAGCCAAAAACAAAATTGACCGTCTGCTGTTGATGTAAACTAACAATACAAGAAAATTTGTGAAGAATTAACATTTTTGTCCTTTAAGTGAAACGGCTCTTTGTTCATTTACATCAATGGCAGACGATCACACTGATTTTCGGCCAAGAGTGCGAAGTTGTTGACATTCAAAGTTCGCGCCACGAACCTGGTTGCAGGAACGAAAAACTGCGGCCAAAGAGGTCGTGAAGAGCACACTTACCCTGGATGTGAGTGTCACAAACCAATCGTTGAATCAGGAATTTTATTGAATGCGTAAGCTGATGGTCAGACCAAATAAGGTTTGCATGTTTTCAATGCAGATTTTCAGTGTATTGGCTTTCGGACGGTAAAAATCTATTGAAAAATCAATTATTCTTAAATGCGACCTGGCTACTTTATCACATCGTATTTTTATCGGCCAACGTTCAAACAATCTGTGTTTTTTTAAATATCGATCAATTTTGATAATTAGATGTTTTCTCATTGCTTTAAATTTTGAAAACAATGACGAATTGATCAAATGGACGTATATTTGCTTTTAAAAGAAAACTTGAGACGTGTGGGAAAGATCGAATGTGCTCTAGAAAACTACTTAAGAAAAAATTTAAATGTAGGCGCGACGTGATTCCTCTTAAAAAAATAACAATTTGGGATTTGCCACGTGGGCATGTCACGAGAGCGTCGTGGACAAGGTTCATGAGCTAAAGTGCACCAGCACCGATCTCCTCGTCGTTGCACAGCTGAGTCATCACCGCACTGGCATTCGTTCTTACGGCCCTTAACTAACGAGCAGACTCCTTCTTCCCCACCTGTCTTTGATTTCTTTTAAAATACTTATAAATAGTAAATAAATACGTCCAAATATGTGACAAAGAGCATTCAATTGGGTCAGGCATCCTACCGTCTTAGATTTCGAAAGTCTCAAGATAACATTTTTGGCAATTTCTGCCATTTTCGATTTTTGAATTTTAAAAATTTGAGTTGAGATTCAAGTTCCTCGTTAAAAAATACCCCCTGACACCATGACAGTAACAGTCAAGTCTCATACGTTAGTGCGCCTTCAATTACATTTGATACCGTGCGATACTTTCGTGGTGGAATAGTTGCATTGGCGCCTACAAACCTAACAGGGATACTGCATGCATTGCGCAAAGAGTGAAGTATCCCTGTTAGGTTTGTAGGTGCCGATGCAACTATTCCACCACGAAAGTATTGCACAGTATCCAAGGTATTGAAGGCGCATTGACGTATGATAATTGACTATTATCGTCAACCACTATTTGCAAAGTGGTAACTTCACGCCGACTAAAACATTCTGCAGGGTCCAAACTTTCAAAAAAGATACTCATGATATAATCACCGTGTCTCAGCGTACTTTTTCGATGGCTCTTGAGGTTTTTTTAGGTACATTCATCAAGACTATTTTTAGTCGAAATCATTAATATCTCAATTTTTTCAAAAACTGCACTTATGCGTTTTGTCCTCCAAGCCCCTTAATTGAGTTCAAATCAGCAAATGTTTGTTATCCTCGTCTCGAAGCATATTTGCGGTCTGAATTTCGTAATTATGAACTACTATTTATGATTAATTTTAAAAACGATAGATGAATAATACTAGTTTTCTCACGCAGATAGTTATTTTATGGATAAGTTAGCTACATTTCAGTTCCCTGTTGCAAAATTCAGTCTATTTCCTCTTACCAAGAATTTACAACCACAAACAATATCTCCGTTGGTCGAGAAGTTCTCGTACAAAAAGACAAATCGAAAGATAAATATAGGAAGATTTACAACATTCACTTAGGGTGGCGATATATTTTTGAAGTCTTCAAAACATCGTTTCTCGGTCAAATCTTTTGGAGATGCAAATTCCTGCTCTGCTAATACTGAAGTGATGCCATAAATCATCCTTCCTCTGACGCAACGGCGTATCTTGATTTCCGCGTGAGCTCTATTTTACATATAAATCCACGCTTTCTGGGGCTCATGCGGTAATCAATATACGCCCTTACGTCAGAGGAACGACGAAATGATGTGAGTATTTAAGATTATTATAAAAGTAGAGGGCTACGTTTCTTGAGCGCTTCGCAGTCCAGGTGATGAAGATCCGCCTTTAATGACTTTGCTAAGCGAGTTTTAGTTCTCAATAAGACAGCTCCTATTTGCAAAGTCTTTTGTTGAGAAGGCATTTCAACGTGACACTCATCCGCGCGGACAACACGACACAGAGCCAGACTTTTTATCTAGAGATTAATCAACTCTGGCAGTTAAGATTTTTATCAATTACAGCAGCAGGTGCCAAATCTTCAAAATCTACTCATAATTTTTATCACAGGCATCGATGGAAGTGAGAATGAGTTTCCTTCTTTTCACAAACCGGCGTCGATGTATTGGACTACATTTTGCAATTTGGAACTATAACTCCTGGCTCACCTCAGAAACAACGTATGTACAATTAGTTTCCCTATACTCATAAGTGCTTTTGTGTAGTCCAATTGAAATGAGGACCGTCCATTCTGCCCATGCTGAGAACGAACGGCGCATGAGCCTTCAGAGTCAGACGCTGCCAAATTACCTTTCACAAAATCACATATTTTCGGGAAAATTCGTAAAAAACTTTCTAACAATTTTTCATAGAATTTTGTTCCATAATTTGATAAAAATAGTCTGAAAATGTCGAGGAAAAATATTTATAACTGTTGGGTACTGCGTATTCTTGACTGAACAGAGATGTCGAATCTCCCGCCGCGCCATCTGTCCTAATGCGACCTCGTGCCGACAGATGGTAGCACGCTCCAGCCCGGACCCGAGCAGGTCCAGTCAAGTCCAGTGTTACTAACGGGATTGGACTGTTGCAGATTCTTGCCGTAGGATGCGCTGTCGTCAAGTGTACCTTTTGTGACTTTGTGAGGTTGGTTTTGTGTTGTGCTCATGTGCTGTGAAAAGTCAATTTTTCGATACCGTTAAACCGTTTTGGACTTGAAAACTCCTGGAGGTAGTAAGTCAATTTTCCTACTCACTTTTAGCTTTTTATTTAGAGGGTATGCAAGAGAATACTTCTGTTTTCCTTGGACTTACTCCTGGGAATGTAGAAGTGATTTTCATGTGTACAATAAACATGCTCGGCATACAATCATAACGTGGTAACACATTTGCTATTTCCTATCCTCTGTTTACATCAAAAGAGGATGAAGAAATCTGAGACTGGCTCGACCTCACTCGTAAGTCACCCTAGGAACCCCAAAACAAGTCGGTCATTTTGAGTTCACGAATGACGTTTCCAATGCTCATGCTGGGCATTGGATGTTCTCCCAGTAAAGTGTAAAGTCTCCAAATACGTACTTCACTTCAAATTAATTTTTTTAAATTATAAGGGTTCGAAAAAATGAATGATCATTTAGGTATTCCTTTGTAACCACCACAGTCCTTTTCTTTGATTATTGTCCCAGTTTGATTTTTGTTGCCATCTTGAAGTTTTGTGACGTCAGGCGGGTACCACTTTTGCCAGGCGACTACCGAATCTGTAGCGCGCATTTCAAATCTTCGCCTGCTCTCAACAAGATTAGAACAAGATGAGGACGAGAAGCATTGTTTGATAAATGAGATGACGATGAGATATAAATTAGATATAAATGATCCGTCACATTCCTTCCTAGAAATGTGCCTGTTCCAGCTGAATTTAGTTTTTTATTTCTGAATGATGAAAGAATCTCAAAGGATCGAAATATGACTAATTACTAGCTCTGTAGCTTGCAAGATAACGCCCTTACCTGAGTTATGAATTTTTCCAGTATCGTTGAAATATAAGTAGAGTACCTAGTAGCGGCACCCAGTGTCACAGTATGTCATACCTATTTGATGTACCTAGGTAATTCTCATCCAAATAAGAGAAGAATAAATATTTACCTTCATTAACACCAAGTAGACGAAAGTTCCACTGTGAACTTAGTTGGCCAATAAAAATGCAAACAATGAAGCAATTATTTTTATTTCCTGACTCCAAATGGTAAGAATTATGGTAAGAACTCTAAGGCATAGTAAAAACTGTATTTATCATTCCTGAATAAATACAAGGTTGACTGTTTGCATGGAAATGATAGTACATTAGTTGGCGGCTTATCTATTATTCTAAACTTCAGATTAAGTTGATGAAGGTAGCAGGTTGTTGTCAGCAAGAGCTGTTGATATGAGTATGTAGTTTAGAATGGTCAATTTTTAATTCTGCCAGAGGAGCATCATTAGTATTTAATACAAAACTCTCAGGGGTCTCTGGATACTATGCCACCTCTTATCAAGAATGTTTATGCTAATTTTGTTGCTATGTGGTGATGGGAGAGATAATTTCAAGATTATTTTGGTAAAAGTCGGACAAATATGAGGATGCCAAGTTTATAAGAAAATCTCACAAACCAAAGTGAACATTGTTTCATGCCTCTGCAATTTTCAGCTTCGGGCTAGGTTCTCGCAAGAAGGTCAGCACAACGCGCTGATCAAACTTTTGTGGAATTTCTTGTTAATTTTAGAATGTGTGCCAAAGTCACAGTAAGTATTCCACAAAAATTGCAAATCTGAAAAATCTAGAAAAATAACAAGTACCTCTCAGCCTCCGCGCAATTCGCACCCCTGCTAATAAATGTTGGAGAATAGAGAACACTTTACCCTCAAAACATTACTCGCACTGAGTTTAAACTAATATGTAATTATACGTGTACGATGGTGGATCTGAGCTGTACTTACTTACCAAACTTTGTTGAGCGAAGTTGTTACTTAGGGGAAATTCATTAACTGCTGCCAAGGATTCACAAACTCTGACCTTGATAAATATTTCCGACATATACTTGAGATACAGTCAGATGTTTGGAATTCTGGACATTCAGTTATTGTTCACATACAAAAGAAATTGACTAACAAATACAACCGTTTTATATTTACATAACTGCTCAACAGAACATACCGACAGTTGTGATTAGTTTCTCGACAGCACTCTGATAGCGGTAGGATAGCTAAAGGATCCCTACCCTGCGGCAAAAATGGAGTTGATTGAAATTTTGATTCACATGGTGCTAATGCTGTCAAGACTCAAGACAAAATTACACTCCACGCACAGTCAAAGAGTATTTTGATAAGTAAGATTATCCATTAAGGAAGTTGCACAAATCACAAATCAAACCGAAGGACACGGACAAACCAAGGAGCCAGCCATAGCCAGCTCAGAAACTCGGCAATTCAGTTTCTCTCACTGCAAAAGGTGGAACCATCCAAAGTACCATCAATGTTAAGTTGAAGGGGTGAATTACTTATTTAAAGAGTGCTAAGTCATTTTGGGACTTTTTCGAAGAGATTTAAAGGAAAAAATTGGAAAATGCTCAACTATAAAATGAACGTAAACAATCCGCCATTGTATCAAAGCTGACGCACAAATGAAACAAGCGCTAAACACAAGGGTAAAAAGTACATACGTAAATTGATTTTGTTTTATAAGGAGAATGGTGAAAAAGTTAGGAAATTCATATTGGAAATTGAAGCTTTAAGATATAAAGAACTTCAGATAATTAATACAGTTTACTTAGAAACGGAGTTAAAGAAGGCAAAGTTAAGGAAACTCAGAAGGAACAGGGTATTTTGTAGGAAAGGGTTGGTAGGTTTAGAATTGAATCGACGTATCGAACAGCGACTATCGGTAGTCTCGAAAAACCCCTGTAAAATACACACTAATACAATAAGCGGTTACATCAGATCTTATGGGAGCGCACTCACACATACAAAAAATCGCTTTTTCAAGCGATTTTTTACAAGAGAACAGAGGAGAATCTCACTAGCGATCGAGATTTTTCGAGATTTTACATTGATTAAATAGCCCAGAGTGAAAGGAAAGTTCTCTCCAGTTGATCACTGGGAGAACAATAATCTGGTAAGGAGCTGAATGCAAGGCTTATCAGTGATCTGTAAAAGTTGTCGAGCCAATAGATATCAACATGGGTAGGCCTCCAAGGTAGGCCAGCTTATCCGCTATCTCTCTTTTCCCTTATCATACTGGTGTCGGGCGGCTGGGAGGAAAAGCTACAGTCCACTATTCTCCCTATATTATTCTCCCTGAGCATTGGAGTATTTTCAATAACTTTCTTCGAAAATAAATATTTTCTGAGAGGAAAATTGGCAATTCGGATGCACATGCAGCGTTTTCCCTCATCACGGCAGCATCCGTAATCAACGCCGAATGAGATATGAGAGTGGGTATTACTTATTAGACTCCTCTCAGAATTATACATCATACATATTTATTACGGTGAGTCGGTCGTTCCTACTGCATCGGATCATAACCCTCCAAACCGCTGAATTTTACTTTAATATTTTCCGCACTGGTAAGTGACTACAAGTATTAAGAGCTATATTTTCTACTCTAATTATTCAGGAATTTCTTGATAAATAGGAGTACAACTTAATAAAATCAGAGACTTGCGTAATAGGGTCGGACTGGCTCGCATCTGAGGGCGTAGACCCATGGCTCGTTGAAGCAGCGCGGCGTGATATTTCCTGGTAGGGCATCCCCTACGTGGAGAGGGATTCAGAACATCTTGGCAAAGCAGCACAAGTTTACGCTATTTTTGGGTTCAAAGTATATTAATCGTACAGAGTAAAAATTTCAAAATTGAACGTATTGAAGTAACCGACAGACTTCTGATAATAAAGGAAAACAAAAGATTAAAGCCCCCAGATGCATCCCAGCATCATTACGACGGTGAAACTACCACAACACGTATCTCAGTTTGCGACGTTTTAGACTTCCTGTCATACTTTATTTTATACGTGGAAAATCACTCAACGTCAGTTTTTGAAAATTTCCATGATTTTTTTTCTCAGTGCAAAAAAAGTCTGTGAAAACCTCGAGGAATAAAATTGATTTGTTCTCTGTCAAAAAAATAAAATGGGAGCGGAGATTTTGAAACACCGCAAACGAGATACGTGGTCTGGTAGTTTCACTGTCGATTACCTGTTTCCAAAAGAATCGAACCAGTGCTGCGGTTTACACGAGCTTAAAAAGTGGGTCTACAAATCCATCCTAAAAAAGAATCAGACAAGAACCTGCTGAAAAAATAAGAAAGAACGAGTATCAACACAGCCGAAGACAGGAAAGACGTATTCGGGCCTCCTCTTTAACTTTTCTCCCGAATCCGAGCAACACCTCATTGCCAGCGTATAGCAGAGCATTGAGAGCTCGCGCTTCGCGATCCATCGCGCCTTCAATTTTTCGGATGCAGCACGGACGTCCATCAAGTACGAATAGTTGTATCCCTGCGCCGTCGTTAATTCTCATCCTTTTCCTCGTTTTAATTCCATATTGAGTTTGTTCTTGTTTGTCTTATTATTCGTAATGGTGCTTCAAACTACTAGCACAGGACAGAGCATTGCGAGTTCACTACTCACGCCATCGCGTCTTACATTTTTTATATGCAATGTGGACATCCATCTTGCGCGAGTATAGTTATATCGCGTTTACACTTTAGATAACTCTTATTTTGAATTTCGAGAGAAATTAAGGTTAAGTTTGCCCGAGATATGCTATGGTATGTCCAAATCAATAGTCATTTTGAAAAGGAAGAAATATGTTTAAAGGTCTCTCAAGATGTCTATAAGGGGTGTGTATGTCTAAAAATCGAACCGATCATCGCTTCTACCCTGGTAAAAATTGGCAGTAGAATCTGTGTTCCAAAATACCATAGACGTACGGCCGGCTGTAAGATTTCCAATAGCTTCTATAGCCTACACAATTTCTTATAGCCTTTTATAGCCGATGGCGATTAAGCATCTCACGGCCTGGCGATAAAGTGTATGCTAAACGTCACTAATTACGGATGCTAGGACTTGGTGAGTTTTTGGACCATTGCTCTCTTTTTGGGCCGTAGTATCTTGATTTATTTTGGGAGGAAAGCTCCATACCAAGATCCATCCATATAGGTCAGTCATTCCCGAAACCCAAATGAGAATCTTCTGCGCATGACGTCAGCATTACTGCCGCGAAAACCAGAAATGTCGGAAACAGTGCTTTTCTCATGGGAGAGAACAAATTTTTCTTAATGAATCATTTAAATTTCTTACTTTTAAATTCTTTGAAGCTTTCTGAGTGTCGAAAGGAACGTTTAGAAATTAGCGTCAAGGGTTTCAATTCAGCTGAATTTGCGTTTTTATATTTTTAAATGATTTTTGAAGTCAGCGATGTAACAAGCCATCTAGTGGTATAGATTCGCGTGTAAAAATGGCTGATGCAGAGTAAACTGTAAAAATGAAAGAACACAAATTCGGCAAAATCGAAACCCTGAATGCTAATGTCTAAACGTTCTTTTCGACACACAGAAAGTTTTAAAGGATTTAAAAGTAAGAAATTTAAATGATTCATTAAGAAAAATTTGCTCTCTCCCATAAGAAAAGCATTGTTTCCGACTTTTCTGGTTTTCGCGGCAGTAATGCTGACGTAACGAGCCAATGGAAAGGGGCTTACCCCGAGCGGGGAAATCTGCGCAATGACTGACCTATATGGATGGATCTTGCTCCATACTTTGATGGATGCCTGCCATTCCTACTGCATTAGAGCGCCTTCAGTTTCCTATGATACTGTGCAATACCTCTAGTGTGAAATAGTTGCTTCAAGCGCCGTGGCACGCTACGGTGCGGCAGGCGAGCAGCCAGCGCGAAACGTGCATTGGCGCCTACAAACCTAACAGGGATACTTCACGCGTTGCGCAATGCGTGAAGTATCCCTGTTAAAGCCGGCTCCAGACTACGCGGCATTCGCCGAATATTACTCGCCGAATACCGAATATTTGGCAAGTCCCGCGTAGTCTGGATGGAACATTCGCGTCCACTTGGCTCGTGTTGACGCGAGGCGAGTCACTCGGCTCGGCATTCGCCCCAACCCGCTGAAAGTCGGTTTTTGTGACACGAGTCAAAGGGATCGCGAGTACGAAGCCGAGCGTCCATCGCGACATCGGAGCGGTAACGTTGCATGGTGGCAACGATCATGGTGTCAACAAACCAAAAATCTGATCATGGAGTCAACGATTGTTGACGTCGTGATCAGGCAGTAAAACGCAAAAATGGGCCCTGAGCATGGTGTCAACGATCACGGTGTCAACAAACAGAAAAATATCTTCCTTGTGAGTAAAATTAAATAATTAAGTGTACAGGGGAGGTCTGGGTCACGTATAGTTGGATTAGGTTAGTTTAGGTCAGGTTAGGTTAGGTTAGGTTAGGTTAGGTTAGGTTAGGTTAGGTTAGGTTAGGGTAAATAACATAAGAAAAACAAGACTTGAAATTTAAAAAATAAATAAAATAAAAATAAAAATGTTTGAAATTTAAAAGGTGTTATTGAGGCAAGTTTTAAGTTTCGTTGACGTCGTGATCGTTGACACCGTGATCATTTTTCATAAGGGTCAGAATTTTTTATTTTAAGATGATCATGGTGTCAACAAAAACTTAGAAAAACTGTTTGTTGACACCATGATCGTTGACACCATGCTACGTAATCATCGGAGCAACATCGGGGTGCCATCCAGACTACTCGTCCTCACTCGCCGAATGTTCGGTATAGTTTTGTAGGAAGGGGGCGAAGAGGTGCAGCGTTTTCCAGTGTTTTTTCTTCACTTGGCGAACATTTGTCCTATCCCATCAGATATTCGTTATTTACCAAATGACGAGCCAAGTACGACTTTCACGAGTAGTGTGGCGCTGTACACTCGTGGAAACATTCGAATCTGCCCGTCGATTCCCGAACCCCAAATATTCGTTACTCGGCTCGGCACTCGGCGAATGCCGCGTAGTCTGGAGCCGGCTTTAGGTTTGTAGGCGCCAGTGCGTCGCCGCTCCGCTTTGTGTTAGGCTCTAATATTTAATCTGGCGGAGTCAGCGTTATTCAATTCATGATTTTGAAATGTTTGCACATCCTGTATGGATTATTCTCGTTTCCATTGATGAAAAAAATACGTATTGAAGGAAGATATAACGTGTGTTTTGTAAATATTAAGGTGGTTCCGTATCAAACTTAATGATTTCCAAAGCACACGAATTTCTACACAATTTCTTACAGCCTTTTATAATCGATGGCGAAAAAGCAACAGCCAGGCGATAAAGTGTAAAGCCCGGCTATCGGAACTATATCCCAGCTGCTTAATTTTTTATCGCTTCGTACAGCCCGGCCGTATGATTTTCTCCGCATTCTACAGCCAGCTATATGATTTTTTGTAGGCTTCTTTAGCCGTCCATAAGAATTCCTATGGTATTTTGAAACTGAAGGAGGGGTATGATAAAGCGTCTGTATGTCAACAAAAAGGTCAAAATTTCGCAGAATAGTTTAATAAATAACTGATGCATGAGTACGGATTGCATTCTCAGCGACCTAAAATAAATTTCCTTTTTTAAAGTGTTGTTTCACAACCTCGAGGAGCTTCGTATGATGTTTCACTTTTTCAATTTACAGCCCTGCCCCCACTCACCAGCCTCTTCTCGTATTGGGCTGAATTGGACAGCATTTCGAAATTAGGAAATACAATTTCTGGTTCATCCATGAAAAGCACTTATGGGCATAGAGAAAATAACGGTACATACATTGTTACCGAACCGAGCCAAAAGTTGCAGTTTCTCACTGCAAAAAAATGTACCTAGTCCAATCAATAATTGGTGCCCCACCATGTTATTACTCATTGCACATGTACACGGATGATTTTGAAATAACTGTTACCTTATTTTATATTTCTGTTGATTGTAGCGAAAATATGGGCTTCCTGACTTGGGCGGTTGTTTCGGTAGTTGGCGGTGCGGTCGCCATGACTGGAGTGGGCTTACCCGTTGCGGGTTTACTAGGATTTTCAGCGGCTGGACCCGTTGCTGGGTCCTTAGCGGCAGGGGCCCAGGCGTATGTGGGAAACGTCGCAGCTGGCTCAGCCTTTGCAGCAGTGCAAGCATTAGCCATGGCCGCTCCAACGCCTTGAAACGGTAAGCTTTCGATTTGTAACACACGGGATGGTCCAAAAGTCCTGAACCCCCCGCGCCAGCACCAGGCAACTATACCCTCGTAACTTCCACCTTTCTCCTCATTTTTCTCCTCTCTCTCCTCCATCATTTTCCTTACCTTCTTTTCTTCTCTTTTTTTCCCTGCTCCTCTCTCTCTACTACTTTATCTTTCTCTTTCTCTTCCTCTCCAACAGAGTAAATCTCGATCAATTGATAAATTATTTCTACGCAAAATCAATGGCAAATCTTTGGACGCTCGTCACTACAAAACTTCTAAATTTATATTTGAGAAAGGTGCATTTTAGCCCCAAAATCAAAATCGTATTGATGAAAAAGCTAAGATGCTCTAATTCATGTGTTCTGATATTTTATATGTTAATCATCTGTGTTTTTTCTAGGCATATAATTATTTTTCTCCTGAAATATATTATAGAAATCAATAAGATGAATGAATAAGTAATAGAAACCGTGCGAATGGTCAAAAACTATAAGTCAAAGATGTATTCATCTGAAAAAGGTGCTACCGCAGGGGTCATGAAACATCAAATAGACTGAAGTATCGACCCCTGTGTATTACTGCCAAAACTAGCACCAATTTTGTCGGCGTTTAGCCGAGGGTAAAACCCTCGTTTCCACCGTCCACCACGAGGAGGAACCGACATCAGACGGCACGCTTCCACCGTCCAACTTACAACTCCCATGGCATACATTAATTTGAAATTCAAAATTTTGAAGAAATTTTGAAAAAATGGAGAAGAAATTTTGAAAAAATGGAGAAGAACTTCTGAAAAAATGGAGAAGAAATTTAAAAGACAAAAGCATGGGGCTCATGCCTTTGTTGTTAGTGAGATTTAATAAGGATAACCTTATTTTTAAATTTTTTTTTAAATTTAATAATAATTAAAGATCTCATGCCATGAAGAGTTGGGTGGGCGTTCTGGGCGCACCCTCACTCACAACAGTGAACAATTCGCCAATGATCGAATGCAGGGAACTCCTCTACCACCGTGCGATCCAGCAGTGAGACAACAAACTCGTAGCTGGATACTCTCTACAGAGGTAGAGATTGCTGAAACTTTGTCCGGCTTGTTCGGCCCAGGTCAAACAGAATACCCTGAGCCACGAGACCCCGGGACTCTCGTGAAGTATTCGGCTCGTCCTGCATCAAAACCTACTTCAATCTGCAACATCGCCTCAACCACCAGCCCGTTTGAGAGGTGTCCGACCCTCCGGTTCCGACTTTGCCTGGTCTAAAGTGTCCCGGGGGGGATGACGGCTTTAGACTTAATGCGCAAGCATCGGCAGATACCGGAGGTTGACCAGTACAGGATTGCCAGGCTTCGATCGGTCACCCCTGCAATTGGTCACTGACGAATCGCGCAAAGTCGGTCACAGATCGGGATTTTCAGACCACTGTGTACCGGTTGATCTTTGCACCTCGCGGTTCAAGGATATGGCCTAACTACTATCAGTGGTCCTCTGAAGATCATCGTTCCCCTCATGTTCCTAAGGTTCCGCTTGATCTCTTCCGTAAGCCAGGGATATGGGCTAACAACCAAGGTAATAACGTACCAAGGTTCCGCTTGATCCAAGGCTGCAATGGATATGGCCTAACATCCAAGGTGTAAACAGCCTTGCTGCGCGCGAGGCAAGGCACCAAGGAAGCGGTTGATCCATGCCCGAGCGTATTAGGGATATGGGCTAACAACCAAGGTAATAACGTACCAAGGATGCGCTTGATCCTACATAGCTCGTTACGATGTGAGAAGAGATATGGGCTAACAACCAGAGGCGAGGGAGGGTGCAGAATCACAACAGATTTGCCGGCGTTTGGCACGGGTCAGAGACCCACCCCAGGTCCACCACGAGGAGGCTCCGGCACCAGACCCTTTTCTCTCTCTTCTCGCTTTTCCTCTCGATTTTCTTCTCACTTTTCTTCTCGCTTTTCCTCTTGCTTTCCTTCTCGCTTTCCTTCTCGCTTTCCTTCTCAATTTCCTTCTCAATTTCCTTCTCGCTTTCCTTCTCGCTTTCCTTCTCGCTTTCCCTCTCAATTTCCTTCTCGCACTTTCCTTCTCGCTTTCCTTCTCGCTTTCCCTCTCAATTTCCTTCTCGCGCTTTCTTTCTCAATTTCCTTCTCAATTCCCCTCTCACTGTTTTACTGTGTGCTTTCACTGTTTTATTCTCTTTATGTTCTCTCTATTCTTCCCTTCTTCTTCTCCCGTGTCTCTTCTTTTCTCTCCTCTCTTCTCTCTCGAAATATATACGAAAATAAAGTACCGAACGCGGAACTTGTTCAACTATTCACTGCACCTTCTAATTTCGGAGAAACTTCGGTACTTGGGCTGCTCCATAAATGCAACGCAGGCCCACTCTCAAAGAGCCATGGCACTTCGGAATCTGGGCTGCAACTCACCACCGACGCTAGCGCTGACGCTTGCGTCAGTAAACACTCATCAACATCCTTTTAAGTTTTTTTTAAATCTGTTTTAAGTTTAATAATTTGTATTACTTATTCTTGTTTTTTGAGAGGAAAATTTTAATTGATATTTTTATAAAATAGTAGTTGGTTCTTTAGATATATGCTAATTAGAAACAAAAAAAAATTAACCTAACCTAACCTAACGCAACGTAACCTAACGTAACAGACCCATTAGTTAGGTCGCTCCGCGACCTAACTGGCTTGTGGGGTAAGATCCTCTAAATCCCGTCATCCTAAAAAGAACAACGTCATCCTGAAGAGGATAATGACATCCTAAAAAGGATAACGTCATCCTAAAAAGGATAACGTCATCCTTAAATGGATAACGTCATCCTAGAAAGGATAACGTAATCCTATGTTGAAGGTGGCATAAGCGTGAATTTGAATTTGCCGCAAAAGAAAAAACGGACGGGAACGGTTTCCCGCGAAAGGAACGGATTGAATCAGCCCAAGTACCGAAGTGTCTCAGAGGAGGGGTCAACGGGTCTGCAGAGAGAGAGTGGAGTGGCTGCGAGGAGCAGCCCATGTACCGAAGTACACCCCTAATTTCACGGAACAATACACTGAGAAAAATTTTAATAATAAAGTACGGAACACGAAACTACACTGATGGTAATGCACTTGAATCACACGACTATCACACGCGGTCCCGAGATGAATATATTTCCGATAAAATATACTTCCGATTGATTATCCTCTACGCTCAAGCTCAACCCCTACTGCTGCGCGACTTCAACTGACCAAAGTCCCGAAAGTTCCGAGCCCTCGAGGTCGCCAACGTTTTCCTTGTTTTTCTCGAAAACAAAAGAGTGGCTTCAATGGACCATTAGACAAGGTACGAATTTCAGCATTCTGATACATGTTTCTCAACCAAAATTTCACGTAGAACACGATACGCACAACGAAAATTACCAAAATCAACTCCTGACGAAGATATTTAATGATTCTTGATGCGTGAATTCAAACCACCCGCTCATGAAAACTCATAATGCTCTACGTGATTCACACCGAGCGCTAAACGTTATCATGGCAGTCTCTGCGATATAAAAATCTGGCAACCTCGATCTCAACGCTTTGGCTCAGCTATAGCAAATACTTATAGTTTGAACAACACATGGTGGGAAATGAACATTGCTCGTTTGAGAAGCTTGCTGAAACCGTTGTAGTGGGCGATTTGACTCACGTAGAGCTTTGAGTTTCTTGTCAGCGGGCGGTTCAAATTCCTCGTAACCAATGTGAAATAAAAACGTTAATATCTTCGTTAGGAGTTGGTTTCAGTAATTTTCGTTGTAAGAATCGTGTTCTACGTAAAATTCTCGTTAAGAAACATGTATCAGATTGGTTAAATTCGTACCTTGTCTAGTGGTCCATTTCCAAAATATCCCTACATTTCGGGTTTCCCAGGTGAAAGGTCAGTGCAAGCTCACAAAAGAAAATGTCTTCATTGAACTGAAAACTAATTGGATGTATTTCTATCAAACGGAACTATGTGCGTTAAGATATTAGCCCTGAGACCTATACGAATACGTCCATAACAGGGATCACGTCATAATGCACAGAGTTCCGTTTGATAGAAATACGTCCAATTATTACACTAATTAATGAGGGTACTTGGATTTCCCGGATTAATTCATCTCTCACTTTTCACAACTTTCCTTTTTTTGCTGAAAAGTAGTGAGGGTTTGTCCATGAATCACTTAACCCGTTTTTCCCGACCTTTGACCTCTCCTTCTCCCTTTGTCCAAAATGTCACTTACCTCCAGACACCCCCCTCCCCCCTCCCCCGAAAAATTTTGTCATTTCAATCGTGCCTCCTTTTTTTGCGTAGGTGTGGGTCGTCACGAACCCTTGCTACGGGCGTATATACATATGAATTCAAGTGTTTAAATTACTCAGAAACAACATAAATCACATGGGAAAAATCTAGAATCCACTCCTCCTTCAAGGCATTTCTTGATTGTAATCGACTCGGCTTGAATTCTGCCGTGCTAAGGAAGAACGCTGCACGAAAATTCGAGAGTTGCCAAGTTTCCGTTTATAAAGCATGTATTTTTTACGACATTTATGCATATTTTTTCCTTTAAAATTTCAGATATTTACATTAAATTGCGTGCAAAATCGTCTGAAAATTTCGGGGGAAAATATTCACAATTTTCCCGGTAAATGGTTCAGTTGCGTTGGTCACAAAATCGTGGTTTTATGCTTGAATTCTTGTGGGTCAGCTAAAAATAATGAGATCCGTTCAAACAGCAACTTTCTACGTTCAATATTAACAGAGATATCGCCCTTTAAAAAGACAGGTTTTTGATGTCATCCATCGCGGTGGTGACACCGTTGGTTTTTTCACCTTGCTTTCATCCAAGTATCACGCTGAGTAACCAGTGCATCACTGACTGATAAAAGCGAGGTGGAAGAAACCAAGGGTGTCACCACCGCGGTGGATGACGTCAAAATCCGGCTTTTTAAAAGGCGATATCTCGGCTAATATTGAACGTAGAGAGTTTGGATGGTATTAATTTTAGCTGATCTACAAGAATCAAGCATCGAAACATGATTCTGTGACCATCGCAACTCTGCCGTGCTTAGGAAGAACGCCGTATGAACATTCAGGCGTTGCCAAATTTCTTACGGCAAATCACCAGTTTTCTGGAAAATTTGTAAAGATTTTCCTTCCGATTTTTCCGATAATTTTGTTCTCAACTCCACCTGCGGTTCCTAAAAAGTTCAAGGAGATAGATTCATACCTTTCTTCAAAAATAACTATTTTCTGAGAGGAAATTTGACAACTTTCGAATGTTCATACGGCGTTTCTCCTTATTACGGCAGAACTGACCCAATCCGGTTTTTATCAGAAGAAACTTGGCAGCGTCTGAAGGCTCTTACGACGTTCTCCCTTAGCACGACAGAATTAGACACTAGGACTTGGATTCAATGTCCTATTGTCATGTTGCCTGGATTGTGCTTTGTGAAATCCTCTCGGACCCGACCATCCGATGCGTCTCAATCAAGATGATCAGGATGCATTTCCCCGAAAGAGCAATTGCGCCGACACGAATCCTCGAATGCACGATGCCATGACCGCCTCGATGAAGAGATGCTTTCACCTATAGCCATTCATTTCATCCTCATCTCGTACGCAGCATGGGCTCCCGCCTTGCCAGATCGTCATAGACGTCGACCGTCCTTTCGTCGCTCCTTTGACGTATGGGCGTATAACAATTTCCGCATGAGTCTTGGAAGCATGGATTTGTATGGAAAATAAAGCTCACGTGGAAATTGATATGTGTCTTTTCGTCGGAGGAGCGACGATTTGATGCGTGATAATGTCTTGATTCGTCGATCCTTTGATGGAGGGACGTAAGCTCGTTTCAAGGTTGGAAAATTGATCAAGGAATTCGATTTTTTATAGAAATATGACCGGCAATGGCCTGATCATTGCAATTGATCGACAAAGTTAAAGATAAAGAAGACTAAGAAAAAATATAGCGATCCCATTGATTGAAACGGCCGATTGTTGAAGACTGCGGTCCGCTTTCTAAGACAGGGAAAAAGTAGGATTCGCCAGGGAATGACAAAATGAACGTATTTCTACCAAACGGAACTATGTGCATTAAGACATGAGTCCTGAGACCCATAAGTTTATGCGCATTACAGGGCCCACGGCATAAATTCAGGGTTCCCAGCGATCTGGAAAACCTGGAAAAGTCAGGGGGGAAAAAATGGCCTGGAAAACATGGAAAAGTCAGGAAATTTGCTCCAAAAGTCTGGAATTTTTTCAAGTACTGAGAAGAAAAATTTAATAAGTAAACAAATAAAAATAAAATAATTAAAATTGAAATTGCAATTCCTTCGTTGTATTTTGAATTTTCCGCCAACTCATCCTCTTTATCGGCATTCGGAACGAATCGGAACTGCTCGGAAGTGTTCGGTGGCTCCCCCTGCAAGTCAGCCATAATGATGGGGGCATCTTGTGCGACCGGTTGCGTCTAATGAAAAAAGAGATCGCAGGAGCTAGCCACTCCTCTTCACTCGGCGTAGGAGGCCAGGGGGGGCCTGGCCTGGCCCCCCCTAGAATTGGAAATAGTATCATCTGCCCCCCCCCCCAGAAATTCTGGATGTTGCAAAAAGACCTTCTTCAACGGTAAGTCTCTGTCGCCGTGGCCCGTGAGAGGATGTCTATAAATAGAAAAACCTGTTGAATGCAACAATTTCAAAGTATTTTAACCTTAAAATGTAAAAAACAAGGTGATTTTTAGGCAGAAATTGAAGGAAGATTAGCGCCACAAGTGTGTCTCGAGATGTGCTCAAGTAGAGTTAAAATTTCAAAAATTTTCCGGGGGAAGCCCCCCGAAGACCCCCCCTGAGCTGGGGGGTATTCCAGACTCCCCGGTGGTGGGAGGCCAGGCCCCCCTAGCAAAATGACCTAGCTACGCCTATGCTCTTCGATCGGGTAACCCTCAATCTTCAATGTAAAAGTTTCAAGTACACTCAAGCGTATAGCACTGCAGTAGCGGCACGGGAAAACCGAAAAACCAAGGGGGGACGCTACTTCGATACAAAGCTTCCTTCGCCTTGCTAAGGCGCAGGGATAGGTACAACTATTTGAACTCTCCGGAACGCGTGAGGTATCACGCCTCAATTGAAGGTGTTTCCGAATCTTCTGTGTTAATGGACGAGATTTTCCAATTGGTTTGCATTATATTGTTGATTTGAGTTCCTCTTATTATTTAGATAAATTACTCCAGCTTCTTAATTTTTAATTATTCTGCAAAAATTATCAATTTGCGAAATACAATCCTGGCTTTAGCGCCCTTAAACTACTGCCTTAACGGTTGAAACAGGCGTTTTCTAATATTCTGTGTTACATGACGAGATTTTCCAAATTGTTGTGCATAATATTGTTGATTTGAGTTCCTTTTATTATTTAGTTAAATTTCTCCTGCTTCTTAAATATAATTATTCTGCAAAAATTATCCATTTGCGAATTACAATCCTGGCTTTAGCGCCCTTAAACTACGGAAGCAAAATCCCAGCAATTAATTGAAAATGTTTTAAACAGAATTAAAATTGATAGCAGTTTTTTTACAAAGATTCCACTGTTTTTTATGGTAAGATTGTAGTTTTGATGGAAAGTTTTGCTAAAAATTTTCTAAATGGAATAAGCAGGTATTTAAGTGGAGAGGAAGGAGAGAAAAAGAGAAAGGAGGGTAGGGAAGGGATAAAACTTGAGGGCCGAAACTTAGACCTCCCCTGAGCGACCGTCCCCTTTGGAGCGGGTCTCCGACATTTTCCACCTCTTGGCACCCCCAAGAATGAAGGTCTAGAACCGCCTATGGTACCATTTGAACCAAAGCCTCAAAATGTGACTTAATCGGTAAGGCACATCAGTAAAAAACTTTTCAAATGAATATCGCAGCATTCATGAACATCAGTAATTTAAGACAGTCGAAAAGCTAAGATTCTCCCTCACTTTCACTTAATACCGCATACAGACACCGGAGTTCGAATATAGTTGCACGCTTGATTTCCGCATACTTAACGATGCGAGCATAAGAACTACATTCATAAAAGCCGGTAAATTAATTGAGACAGGCGAAAACCTAGGATTTTCTTTCATTTTCGTGGGATACCTACAACATTACCGACTCCATTAGTAAGAAATGTTGCGCACTTGGTATCCGCTTTGGTCAGTGTTGATTCATAGTAAAACATTTTCATGCAAAATTCCGTGACCATTCAAAAAGGATAAGAAGGTACATATAATTTATTCAGCAGTTCCGTAAAAAAAGAGAAAAAAAATCGCAGGTATCCAATTTTCATCTGAATGTCGTACGCGATTATTTCAGTGGTTTTGATGAAACGCGTATTTCACTACAATACTTATTGCGGCGTACCTATATAAGATTTTCCAGGGAAAATTGCTTACTTACATAATGGACCACTAGACAAGGTACGAATTTCAGCATTCTGATACATGTTTATTCACAAAAATTTCACGTACAACACGATGGAAATTACCGGAATCAACTCCTTCCAAAGATATTTAATGATTCTTGGTGCGTGAATTGAAACCACCCGCTCATGAAAACTCAATGCTCTACGTGATTCACATCGCGCGCTAAACGTTATCATGAACATTTCTGCGATGAAAAATCTGGCAACCGCAATCTTGACGCTTTGGCTCAGCTATAGCAAATTACTTATAGTTTGAAAAACACATTGTGTGAAATGAACATTGCTCGATTGAAAAGCTTGCTGAGACATTGTAGTGCGCGATTTGACTCACGTAGAGCTTTGAGTTTCTTGTGAGCGGGCGGTTCAAATTCCTCGTAACCAATGTGAAATAAAAATGTTTATCTCTCCGTGAAGATTCGGTTTCAGTAATTGTCGTTGCGCGAATCGTGTTCTACGTGAAATTCTTGTTAATTCGTGTATCAGAATGCTTAAATTCGTACCTTGTCTAGAGGTCCATTACGCATCTTTCACACGAACATCATGAACGTTTATGATTTGAGACGGGCGAAGATTTTCCTTCATTTTCGTGTGATAGAGCATGTGACTAAACACCGGAGAGACCGAAAGGAGAAGAGGAAATGGCTTGAAAAAACTAGAAGGACCACGTCTTTTTCAGGGTGGAATGACAAAAAATGTGGGAAAAGGGGAGGAAAAGTAAAAAAAGAAAGGAGGAGGAACATAGCCAAGAATACCTTAATATCACTACATAAAGTAGTAAGTAAAGCTTCAACTAGGTTCTCATTTTTTGGCAGCAACGGAATAGGTAAGCTCGGTGCGACAAAACGGCGAAGTCCCGGTGCAGCAAGGAAGAGAATCCACAACAAAAGCTCACATGGTCACAAACAAAGATACGTGCTTTTGCACTTTGGCCATCATAATTCCTTTCAACTTTTGTTGGACTAGGTACCTACTGCGAATTCTTGGCAAACAGTCCTAAAATTTCATCATAACTTCGTTTGTTTCAGGTATTGCTTGCTGTCTGACTGGAAAAGGGAGTATATTTTTAATTTCAGCAGATTTTAGTCATGTACCTGCCATCTTCATACAAATTCTACCTATCTAAAAAAAATGTTAATATTTCAACTTTATAATTTTGTAAATTTATCAGTCAGTACAGGTACTTGAATAAACAAAAATGCTTATTCTGAAAAGTCTCTTGCTTTCATACTTATACTTGTTTCATTTTCATTCCTATCAGAAATTTCCTTCCTAAAATTAAGTGCCTACAGAACAACCAAGAACATGAGCTAATGCAGGTTTAAATATCATGCAGCGTCCAGTTGAGTAAGGAAAAAATATTCCGATTCCTCTTATGCAGATGACGAAATTTTCTCAAATAATTCTGCGGATTATCGGCCGATTTGCATAAACAGAAACCAATTTAAGGTGACACTCAATTCAATTTGATCAGAGCTCTTACTTCATCAAAATATTTTTGACAATCATGATGGGAGCTACAATGGAGAAAAAATTGAGCAAGGAAAAATCCTCCTCTAAAATAAGATATTCTCTAACAAAATACTATTTTGCAGCCTTGAAAATGAAAACGTCCTCTTCCTTTCCCTCATTTTATGGAATCTATAAGGAAAACTTTGATGTGCCAACAATTTAGTTGACTATTTTAGAGCCCTTCATCATAGAGAGAATAAGATTCATGGAGTTGATTCAAATTAAATCTGTCCGTTAAGTATTGAGAGGACAGAAAAGATATTTTTGTGTTAATTAAACATAAAATTAATTGTTACACTTCTTTGCTGCAAGATATCAACAATGCAAGTCTGCAATCACATATCCCGTCTGCAGTGTCTGAAAATCTCCGCCTCCATGTTATTTTTTTAAAGGAGAACAAATTGACATCATTCCTTGAAGTTTTTGCAGAATTTTCTTCACACAGATTTAAGGAATTGCCGTTGAGTAGTTTTCCATTTAGAAAACAAAGTATGACAGGAAGTTTGCGACGTCGCAAATCGAGTTATGTGATTGCCAACTTACACCGTCAATATCTATTGGATATGTCAACATATGAATGTACAGAACAATTTTGTTTGGAATCATACATGGTCTGACCGGTGAGGAAAAGATTCAAAGGCTGATCTAGAGAGAGAAAAAAGTGAAAGAGGGAAGAGTTTGAAAAAAAAATACTTCCTTGAACAAGTTAAATGGGTGAAAACAAAAATTTGCTGCCTTAAAACGTCAAGTGATTTTTTGCTCACTAAGATACAATTCATCATTTGATCCGAGTAGCATTTTCAAATGAAATAATGGATGACGAACAGAACTTTCAAATTTCAAGAGAAAGGAACTATTCATTAATTTTGAGAACTCATAAGGCAAGAATTTTATTCCTTGGCTACTGTAGAAGTTTGTACTCTTGGGAGTTATTCACTCGTTAACTTCGGTGACATTATAGTTTTTGTTATTCCTAATTGTCTTTAAGTTCAAAAGAACTGTAATTCACTTACATTAAATTAACTTTTGCATACGAACCAATGATAACAACTATTAATTTTACTCATTTCGATATCTTTACACATACTATATCTATCTGCACTGGTTTTTGGAAAACGGCTTAAATTTCCTCATGAGCCCAAGGATTTGATGCACCTCTTCAAAAATTTAACAGATAGATTCCAGTAGCTTGATGATGTCAATTTTTGCAGACAGTTCTTGGAAAATTTCTTTTCATTATTGTTCAGATACTTCCTCAAAAAGAAAAAGTAAAAGTAGAAAAGGAGAATGTGAGCAAGACAAAAACAATTATAGTTGAACCATTTATTTTAAAATAAGAGATCTTCCTACAGATTGAGAAAAATAGAAATGTTACATTATGATCTTTAATTCTGTGTTAATCTTCTCTTGCTATGAAAAAGAAAACTTGACAAATGCTGAAATTGTAGATTAAATGACAATTTTATACTGTAGCAATAATTTTTACGCTAACAAGCTCAGGAAAATAACGTGTTCATGTATGGCGCAACTGAAGGAAAGATGTCTCTTATGTCGGTACAAAATATTTAATGCATCTCGAGTCGTTTAAAAATATGAGAAAACAGTGGATGCTGGTCTGGTGTTGGTGCTAGTATTTAGTTTAAGTAAAAAAAAAAAACAAAGTTATTATTAAAACTAATATGGTAAGTTCTCGAGAACGATAAATAGGAGTACGAGGGAAAAGAAAAGCTTGACACACCCTCACTTTTCGTATTCTGTTCAAGATTAAATTTTTAGCCTTCCTTACTAATTAATTATTTTCCATTGAAGAAAAATATTAAGATCAAATTGAGAAGAGAAGCAAGAAAATAAAGACAGCAAATATTTTCACATCATAAAGTTTAAACAAATGGACCACTAAACAAGGTGCGAATTGCAGCACACTGATTGGATTGCATTTTGCAAAAAGGAACCACTAGCAATGCAATGTTGATAAGATCGTGCAACTTCTTTTGTCTTGGAGGAAAAACCCGATTATCCATTATAGTTTCTATTTTACTCGCTAAAAACTGTACATTTAAGACATAAATTACCATCAAAATTTCATAGTTTTTCTCGATTTCCGCAATTTCATTGCAAAAGATGAAGTTGCACAATCTTAGCATCATTGCAATGCTAGTGGTTCCTTAATGCAAAATGCAATCTGATTCATGCTTCCTAAACAAAATTTCACATAGAACACAATTCGCACAACGAAATTTACTTGAATTCTCTCCTAACTAAGATGTTTAACGCATTTTGATGTTTGACTTCAATCCTACCAAAAAACAAAAGTTTACGTTAGTCAAACCGTGCACTAAACGTTACCGCAACAGTCTCTGTGGTATGAAAATGTAGTAACCTCGATTTCATTGCTTTGGCTCGCTGTTGCAAGTTTTAACACTTTGAACAAAATAAGACAATGAAGGAGCACTGATCGATTAAAAAACTTGCAAAGACTGTTGTTGTGCGCAAATTGATTCAAGTAGACTGTTGTTTTTCTTGTAAGCTGGGAATTCAAAATTTCTGGAACTAATGTAAAATAAAAACGTCATTATTGCGTTTAGAAGTTGATTTTGGTAATTTTTACTGCGCGAATGTAACAGTGGAAAACGACTTAACACTTTTGTACTAGTCCTCCATTATTCCACATGAAACTCAGGTTATGAAACATGTATCAGAATGCTGAAATGCGTACCTTGTCTACTGGCCCAATGACTGACCGTGAGTATTCTTCTCGAGTATTAACTTCTATTTATATTGCTTAAAAGCTATAGAGAATTCACAAGAAGTATGTTTTTCATTTAAGGATATCCTTCATTTATTCGAATTTGCAAAAAAACGAGGGGTGTTTCTCACAGGAAGTTGATAAGCTAAACCATTCTTGTCACCTAGTCAACCATCACTAGTCATATAGCCAATTATCTATTATGATATTGTCAGATAAAACTCAGCAATTTTTTTAATAATTTATTCTTAATTGTTTGCCTTTCCGCTCAAAATGAAGTACAAAACATGCAGAATCAGTGATGTGCTTGTCTACTCGGGAGATGTCCACGTTTGACTTTAAAGTCTGGTATTCTACTTCAAAGCGTAAACATGACTTGCAAAATATTGGTCAGTACCATTAAAACTGAGAGATTTTATAATATTACAATTTGAATAATTTGCAATCATTATTTTCTAATTTTCTTAATTTTAACAGAGTCATAATATGTAAATATTTTTTTGCATCATGGGATTAATCTAGATAAAATTTGGAGTAACTTTTGATACAAATTGTAACTTTTAAGCTTTGAAAACAGAAAATGGAAGGAGTGAAGGGGAAAAGCGTTGTATTACAATTTTTTAATGCTTAAACTCAAACAATTTTCCCTTCTCTGAATGATGCTTCATCAATCTTGCACTTTTATATCTAAATTTGTATAGGTTCCAGAGGCAGGCTGGATATTGTTGGTCAAGTTTAAATCAGTTAAAAGAGACTGGAACCCTGCATACAAAAATATAGGGAACAGTATCTTGGCATTACATCTTATTGGTTATAAAACTAAGAAATAAACTGTTATATTTACACGCAAATATAATGGTTTGACGATATAGACTAAGATAAAAAATAATTTTAGACCCCACAAATGTAAATGAAAAAAGGTCTCCAAATTCGATGATGACCAAGATCTCCTTGCTGCATTATTTTTCCACCGTAATCACACTTAACACAATAAGCCTTGTATGGTAATGAGTCAGTTGCGCTGATCACAGAGTCGTGTTTTGATGCTTAGTTCTTGTAGGTTAGCTGAAAATGATAAGATCCGTCCAAACACCAAATTTCTACCTTCAATATTAACCGAGATATCGCTCTTTGAAAAATTTGGTTTATGATGTGGTAGACATCCGCAACATTAGTGATACCCTTGGTTACTTCTACCTTGCTTTCACCAATCGGTGAGCTACACATTTGTCGCGGTATTCAACTTGAAACTTTGATGAAAGCAAGGTGGAAGAAATTAAAGGTGTCACTGCCGTGGTGGCTGATTTCATAGACTAAATTTTTCAAAGCGCCATATCTTGGTTAGTACTGAATGTAGAAATTTGGTGTTTACACTCATCTTATTATTTTCAGCTGATCTACGAAGATCAAGCATCAAAACACGATTCTGATTTCTGGCACAATGGGCCTGTTGCAAACTCTTGCTAGGGCAAAAATAAGAGTTGTCGCTTATAGATAATGCCTCAAAAATCACGATGAGTGCATTGGCAAAGTCTGAAATGCACTTATAACTTCACAATCTGCGTAAGAAATTTGCGGTTTTTTGAGCTTCCCGCTTCAAAAACGATACTACAGCACAGGTGAACATTTCGTTAGAGGAGTCGCTCCATCGTCGGCAATATTCATCATGGCCGACGCTTGCGCAGTTCCGCGCGTAATTCAAGGAGAGTTCAAGGTCAATCAAGGCTGGCGAGGAAAATATGAACGTAAAAACACGCCGATTGTTATCTGGTGTAATCCTGTTCAGATGTTATCTCGTCCTATCACACGTATTTTGGCGAATTGGCGTCGGCCATGATGAATATTGCCGACAATGGAAAGACTCCTCTAATAAAATGTTCACCTGTGCCCTAGTATCGTTTTTGAAGCAGGAAGCTTAAAAAACCGCAAATTTCTTACGCTGATTCTGAAGTTATGCGTGCATTTCAGACTTTGCCGATGCGCTTATTGTGATTTTTGAGGTATTATCTTTAAGGAACGTCTCTTAGTTTTGCCCTAGCAAAAGTTTGCAACAGGCCCATTGACCCATTGAAATGCTCACACTAGAACTTTCAGGTTTCTACCACAAAAAGCTTTCGAGGCTGACTCATAATGCAAGTAAATAAATTTGGTATTTTGAAACAGTCAGTTCACTTAGATACAAAGAATTCCTTGAATGGAACCAATGGTCAGTAAAGAAAACAAGGACTCATTGAGAATATGATGGGAATGTAAATTTTTAGAAAATCCATTTCAAATCAATCAGTTTTTTACTTAAAGTTTTGGCATCAAAACCGCTGATGAGGAATTCTCTTACATTAAACTGAAAATATAAGGCTTAAGATAGCCCATTACTACTAAAGTTTCAAGGATCAAAAGCCATCGGAGAAGGAGCTTGCGTAATACTAACGGTGGTGCAGTCAAATCGTCAGTTCTGAGCATGGTGGGGGCTAATAACGGTTGTACGAACGGCTGCTTCCGCCCCAGCTTCTTGAGGAGGAGGAACCCCCCCAGTTGCTCCTTCGCGAAGGTGACCTGAACAAAGGAACAAAAACATATGTTACACAAAAAAGATGCTGAGAAAATCTAGGAGAATACAAAGGTCAGAGAAAATTAAATTTCTTTTGAAATGGAAGGCAGGTGTATTCTAGGCGAGCTTTTGGATGCAGATGTGACTGGAAGAATGAATCTGAATTTCTACTTGAATGACCGAGGAAACCAACGATTGATTAGGAAACATTGAATACTGAATTTGAATGGTTGCAGAACCTGGGCCTTAAAATGAAGGTGAACACACAATACACAGATCCAATTTCACGCATTTACACAACAGAGGTGCGTCCCTGCTGTGAATTTCTTATGCGATCACTTTATTCACTTAAACGCATCGAATCCTTCTCAATTTTGAAGAACGGAAACATTTCTTGCAAAATTTAAAGTGCATGTAGCATCCACTGAGCAAAGACTTCACGTTCTGACAGAACTTTTGACACCCTTGTGGGCATGAGAACAGTGACCTTCAGAAAGTTATAAAAAGGACCCCTCTGGGAAAATTCAGAACTTTTGATTTTTACACAGTTCTATTTTTGGTCTTCTTTTCAGTGATGACTTGACCTTTGTAGGAAAAATTAACCTGAAGAACAAAAAACCACTTAATTGGCCCAAAGATTAGAACACAGGTTTCCCTGTGTGTTATTGTTGGATGAGCTGTATAGCAGCCATTTAAATTTGATGAGCCTCAAGCAAGGTCCAATGATAGCCAACATTTTTCAGGACGGACATCTTGAGACAGAGGGTCGATAAAGTCTCATGAAAGCATCTTATCTGAAGTTTCCACCGAAATGTATGCTCCTTTCCTGAGGGATCGATAGCTTTCTTAGAGGGCTGAATGGAAACAGGAGGGTAACAGGGGCTATTTCATAGCGTTTTCTGAAAGGGAAATTGTCATGTTTAATCAGGGGAATTCCAGATTTTCTCTAAGTGGCCTCTCCATCAAGATCAGTAAGGGGAGAAATTTGAACTCCTTCTCATAAAACTAATTCAATGGGACTGATGCCTGCTTATCTGAATTCAACCATTATGGAATTGATATGAGAAATCAATTCAGTCTTGATGCACATCTTGGTGACAAACACTTCACTTTTGTTTTAAAACAAAAAATAAGGAGAGCGACAAAGTTAAATGCGAGAACGGAGCTGCAGAATTGATAGAGGGTAAAAATGTTCTAGGCCGTTTTTAAGCTTTAGAGAGAGTGAAAAAATGTACAAGAAGTCACACATGTTGATTTTTTAGTATGATGCTGCGAAAATCTTTAATTTTCTTTTTTTATATTTTTTGGGGGCCAATGCGCTCACAAATAAAATTGCGGCACAATTCTAATTAAAATTTTTAGAGGATGAGTATGAAATGAGAAGGAACCTGCAAACAAATGTTGAGCCACAACGCTTCATGATTTCTATCTGAAAAATAAGAATGCATAAAGATTTTGTGATGTTTCTACTGCAATACGTATTACTCCCTTTAGGCGTCGTCTTGCTTCAATGAATGGAAGTTCTGCAAGATATATGGACACAAGCAGAACTTAGAAACTTTAAGAAAAGCTAAAAACCCGAAACATTTCTACCTGCTTTTAAATTAAGCAAAAAACAAATTGCTAGTGTAACAGCATGCATAAAGAGGTACGACCATTGCAATGAAATAAAAATTGACTGATGGACAAACGAAGGGAAAAGGCGGGCGTAAAAATGCCTCTGATGATACAAGAGACAAAATCACAAAAGAAATGAGTTTAGGAGACAGTAACATGGTGGTGTAAGAAACTGAAAGCCTGGGGCGAAATAGTAAAATTATCTACTGGAAAGTTTATGGTAAATTTAACGGAAGAAATTAGAGCAAGTGCTGACTGTTCAGACATTTAGCCAAGAAAAAGGTCCTCCTTCCTTCTTATTTGCAAGATGATAGACAAGAGTTGAAATGATTAAAAGGCTATGCTAGACATAAAGAAAAGAAATATTATGTAAAATGGGAAAGGAGAAAAGACACTTGCTTCAATATTAAACTGCTAGAGGGAGAAAATTAAAATACATTGATGAATATTAAATTAGTACAAAATAAATCACCAGACAAGGTGCGAATTTAAGCATTCTGATACATGTTTCCTCTTCAAAATTACATTTAGAATACAATCAGCGCAACAAAAATTACTGATAAAATCAACTCCTGACCTAATTGATGATTTTACTTAACTCATTTTGAAAAATTTTAATTTCCTGCTCCCAAGAAAAACCTTCATCTACAGGAATCAAATCGCCAACTACAATAGTTTTGGCAGGCTTTTTAATCGAGCAGAGTTCCTCCTCTGCCTTGCGATCTTCAAAGCGTAAATAACGTGCAACAGCTGAGCTGAAGTGCAAATGATTGGGGTTACCATATTTTCATACTGCAATGAATGATACGGTAACGATTGGTGAGTGATTTAACTCTGATAGTTCATGGTACTGAGGAATTAATTTCAATAATGGGCCTGTGGCAAACTTTTGCTACAGCAAAATTAAGAGTTGTTCCTTAAAAATAATGTCCCAAAAATCACGACAGGCACATTGGCAAAATCTGAAATGCACTCCTAACTTCACAATTTGCGTAAGAAATTTGCGTTTTTCTAAGCTTCTCGCTTCAAAAAGGATACTACAGCACAGGTGAACATTTTCTATAGAGGAGTCTTTCCTGTGGAACACTTAATCAAAGGAAGGGACGACTCCTACATTCCACATTCAACTATGAGTTTATTTAATAATATTAGGTTAGGAATATATCAGCTGATGAGTTAACATTTCCATTCAATCCCTGCTCGACATGGCCGACACTTCCGCGCGCAAGTTGAGGAGAACACAAGGTCAATCAAGGCGGATATCTATCAAGGCAAGAAAAATGTGAATGTAAACACGTCGATTGTTATCAGGTGGTTAGAATCATTGTTCCGTCACATGTGTTTTGGCGGATTGGCGTCGGCTATGTTGAATATTGCGCAGTATACTTGTGAGCAGGAGTTGGATGGAATGACTCCTTTAAAAAAATGATCATCTGTGCCATGGTATCGTTTTTGAAGCGGAAAGTTCGAAAAAACGCAAATTGAGAAATAAGGGGTGCATTTCAGACTCTGCCGATGCACTCATCATGATTTTTGAGACACTTTTTATGGGTTACAACTCTAATTTTTGCTCTCGCAAAAGTTTGCAACAGGCCCATGTTTGCTGCACAAATTGTATCATACATGAAGTTTTGATAAGGAGACATATTTATATCAATCCTTTTGGCATCTCGTCTTGTGATCCATTGGGCCTGGTTTAAAAAAAAAAGAAAAAAAAGTTGCTTTATGGAGAGAATTAGTCTGTATTGAAAATGTAGCTCATAGTGTTAAAGTTCTCGTTTCTTCTTCATTGTTTGATTTTAACTACAAATAAACAAGGAAATTCTAAAAAGGGAAGGAAAAAAGCTGCTAAATGTTGAAAACTCATAGAATACAAATTTTGCTTTGACATTATATCGGAAAAACCTTTCTTGAGACCTATTTTAGTGTGATCAAATTTAAATTGACTAAAAGTTATAGAGTAAATGAAACCTAACCACAGACAGAAGAAGTGAGAAAAAATCTTTAGCTTGAGTTCTTAACCTCTTCAATACTGGGTTAAACTTTGTCTTGCTCATTAGGGTGTAAAAGGTTAGGAGAAAAGAGCCAAGTGGCTCTTTAGTGGAAAGGAGATTGTCGGAAGAGGTTGGCGTCCTTCTCTGATGTAGGAACATGCCCACACTCAGTTGTCAATACGCTAAGTTTTCAAGTTCCTATCCACACGAATAGGTAGCATGAATTACAAGACTGATTCCATCAAAATAAAGGAATTTGGAGCAAAGAACCTGTTCTGCAGCCCCCAAAAAAAAATGTATACAGACATCTCTCGATGTACCCAAGCGCTACATATATTCATACATGGTATTGAAAAGGCTAATACATAAAGTTTCCATTCTCCCTTCATCTGAGTTATTACTTTCTCGCTCCCCTGGGTTTTTAAAGATAGGCTTATTAATAGCAGCAACAAGAAAAGCAACTTTTTGAATGAAGATTGAAAAAATGCTATATAATGTTGTTCTAAGGCCAATTTTAATAATTCCAGGGGTTGATAATCTTTGGGTGTAAAAGCTTGTTATGATCCACTTTCTAGGATTTCATCTTTCTCGGAAAAAAAATCAACAAAGCATGCTAAATTAGAGCCTAGCTCTTTACAATACTTTTTAAGATTACATAAATATTAGACCAGAACGCTGCTTCAAAGATTGCATAGAAAAAACGAACAAAAAACATTTGCAAACTTACACAAGCTATTTGAAAGGTAATGCACTGATCGCAGTTTTGAGACATCAAAAAAATAAAATAAGAAAAAAAATAATAAAAAAAAAAAAAAAAAAACCATGACAAGAGGTTATAACAGGATATAGGAAGTTTTCAGTCCCATGTTCGTAACCCCTATGTCCTCAACATTTTTTAAGTGATGTTTCTACCTATTTTTTCTTCTTCTCTTATATTTTCTCCTAAGATTTGAGTTTACTGCATCTGGTGGGATTGCATATTATCCAGGCTGTTGTAAGAAACACTTGTAGCATGAAATGAACAATTTTGGAACTTCCCAAATTAGAGGAATTTCCATGCTTTTTCAGTGCATGTGGACAACTCTCAAAAAATCTCTATTATTTCTGGACTTTCCTAATTTTTCAGACAAGGAGACAGCCTGTTTTATGTTCTCTCATAACTGAGGTCGTAGTATTGTTTCGAGGCAATTTATGTATTAGCGGTTTTCTTTGGCGTTCTGTTACACACGACTATAAACCCCTAAAAATAAAATTTGCAAAAGTTGCATGCACATTGAACATAGAGGAATAAATCATGGGACAAAATAGTACAGCATCAACCATTATGAACAGAATGAAAATAGCAGTCAGTGAAAATAACGATGTACATTATGAAGAGGTAGTAAAATTAAAAATCCAAAAATACGGATACGTACTAAGATTGGGTGCCACAAAAACGCGTCATTAAAACACTAAACAATTTATCTGCTCCAACGATCGTGAACGAGGCGATATCATCAACCAACCAAGCATCAATAACATCATCAATCATCAATTTAAAAACCGGAGTCCCAGCGTTGACACCATTACCACATCATCAAATACCATCGTCCATCAGACAATCAATGTCATCAAAGGGCAAACGCAAACAATGCCCGCCAGCCAAAATTACCACGAATCAACAATTACACTCATCCTGGAGTAAATAATTTATCACATGATATCAACAATAGGAAAGAAATGTCAATAGAGCAAGTTCCTGGAAGAATTATCATGAGTTGACAAAAAATTGCCAATTTTAGAAAAAATAACAGATAAGAGAGAAAGTCCTGCCAGCATTTTAACTTCTCCACTACCTAGTTCATGTTTTGCTTCCATAATGTATGAATATATTTGAGAGAATTTTCAATGATAATTTTGAAAGAGATCTTAAAGGAAGTATGTAGGCAGGTTTGATTTTGGCTGGAAAGACTGTAATGGACTTGACATGGTTGCGGAATTTATGCACTTCACTTAACTGTTAATTCAAACTGAGAATTTAAGGAATGCACATATTTTACATGAGATGAGGATATTATTCAAATAAATAGCAGTTCCCATAGCTTCTTGAAAGTTCACGGGCCATTCTCAGGGAGTTTAGGATGGCCTATACAAATTTTAATTTAATTTTTAAAAAAAAGGACATGAAGAGCATGAGACTGGTTTTGAGATATTAAAATTGCTTAAGAAGAGCTATTCCTGCTGTGTGTTTTTTTTTTTTTTTTTTTTTTTTTTTTTTTTTTTTTTTTTTTTTTTTAAAGAGGTAGGTACTTCAACACTGCTGAAAATGAAAAGAAACAACAAAAATGATAAGCGATAAAGGCACTTAAATGACAAACTTGACTCTTTGACTTAGCATCAGAAATTGAATCCTAAGTTCATTTACGGAAAAAAAAAAAGTTTTTTAGTTTTCTTTCCCCTTCTTAGAACATACTAGATCACCAAAAGAGACACTGATTATTATAGGTGAATCATGAGCTCTTTACTCCACAAAAAATAGTCTGAACTAAAAGGACTCTCTGAAGAGGATTTTTTTTCAAGGAAGTGCTTTGAGCTACAAGACCTAACTTGAGAATTTTCAAGCCAAGAAAATGGAATTGCTATTTCAAGTTATTTCAGAACAAAGTGAGGAACACTGACACTTTGTGAAAATGAGCAATATTCATTTCAATGGAACGAACGGTACTGCAGGATGTGACCTGTGACCTCATTTAAAATTTAAAGCAGTCGTTCAGGAGTGTTCGGTTCATAGTTTTGCGTTGAGTGAATGAATTGTAACAAAAAACAAAAGATGAATACAAGATATAAATGAGAGAGTAGGTTTGTGGACTCTCAACAGAAGATGTAGTTCCTGATTCATCACAAAAATTAGTTTTCTGTTGTTTGTATGCTTATAGAGTAATTGGAAGCTATAAATAATTGACGGAACGGTCTCAATTTTTACACATTTTAAACATTTGATCAATTAATCATCGAAGTGACCAACAAATCAAACCTCAAAGATTATGAACAGTGCTTAGTTTCATCTGTACCCTTCACACTTATTTTAATCCATTTTGGAATATTAGTCCCATTAGAGGACAAAATTTATTGATAAAGAATGGAATATACTGTGTACAAACCTTGAATTGGGGCGTTTGTATCCGTAAGTAGAATTACCACAGTCTCGGGAAAAGTGACCAGGCTTATTGCAAAGGTAACAACGCTGATCGTCTCTGGGTGTTCGATTTCGCTTGTAAAATGAATTCACACGAGGCTTGGCATACGTTACACGGATGTACTTTCCATGGAGTTTGCTATGGGTGATAAATGATTTGAAATGTTAAACATGTTAAACAAACTTGACAATGGAAAGAACCAAGGAGAGAAAAAAGGGGCAAAAACATGTGGGTTATGAATTTTGAGTGTTCAGAGAAAGAGACCAATAAATCTTTGGCCAAAGTGCAAGACCATGTACCTCTGCTTGCGACGTAACAGACAGCCTGTCAAGCTTTATTTTTTCTTTGGGAAACTAATCAACATATTTTCTTTAAAACTTCCTTGATTTTCCTTCTCTCTTAGCAAAATATTCTGTATACATTTCAAGACATAAAATGGGCTGGTTTCTCCTCGAAAGAATAAAATAAAAGTGGAAATTTTAAGACACTGCGAGTAAGATACATGATTTCGCACTCTGGCCATTGAAATGTGACTGCGGAGAAAAGTATTTACTTTCTATGATTTTTAAGCTTCACAGTGTTCTTTGTAAAAGCTACATTCACATGAGTTGGACAAAAACACATTCAACTGTAGTTGAATGAATAAAATTGGTGCATTATTGATTTTGATGATTTGCTTATGCATACTTCTCTATCAAACCATGCAGAATACTCATCACAACATCATCAAAATAATGTCTGAAGTCCCTCCTTCTAACATTCGACCACGGATTGAACGAATATTGAGTTATATAATGAACGCAACTAATGATTAAACACAGAATTCCTTGGCAAAAGGTCATTCTTACGCTTAGGATTGGACTATGTTTAGCAATGAGGAACTACTAGTTTTGGCTCATACATGGAAGCACATATCTGCATGAGGAGGCTAAGGGAGCATACGTCGTTTTCAGAATGAATCGGAAACAGTAGTTCCTAATTTCAAAATGTAGTCCAATCATTGCCACTGTCAAAATTGAGGTTGAGTTTTTTCCCGGTCAAGATCAGTTGAGAGTAAATACTTAGATCGAAATGAAGTTTTCTTTCCCGTTTTAAACCAGGTAAAATGTAAAGAAACCGTGAAGATGGATAATTGGACAAGGTGTAAATTTAGGCATTTTGATATGGGTCCTCTCATCAAACTTTTAGATGGAACACAATTCGCAGAATGAAAATTTCTGAAAATAACTCCTAACCAAAATATTGACGTTTTTCAGTGCCTGAGTACAAACTTCCCTCTCATAGAAAAAACAATAATCTACTCGAGTTAAATTGCACTGTAAATGTTACCATCATAGTCTCAGCAGTGTGAAAATATAACTACCTTAGTCTCGACGCTTTGGCTCAGCTATTTTACTTTACTTACACTTTGACTAACACACTATGAGGAAGGAACACTGTTCGATTGAGAAGCCTGCCAAAACCTGTGGAGTGAGCGATTTAATTCAAGTAAACTATCGATTGCCTGTGAGCAAGAAATTGAAATTTAACAGGACCAATGCTGAATACAAACGTCAATATCTTGATTTGGAATCAATGTCAGTTATTTTCATTGCACGAATTATATGGTACAAGTAGTTCAAAGAGAGAGCATTTACCAGAATGCTTCAATTTGAACCTTGTTTAGTAGTCCTACATTTTAAAATAAATGAAGTAACGCTTGAAAATTTCTTCTTTGTAATACTCTTCGATTCAAGGTTAAAAATTTTTAAAATTAAAAAACTTGACGAAAAATTGTAGTTTTACAGTTGGGCCAGGATTCCCTGCTTTTATGGAGGATAATACTTTTTGGCTGGATCCAGCTAGAGTCTGGTCAGTTTGATTAATAAAGGGCCAGTAGGTAAAACAAGAGAAAAAGAAAAAAGAGCTTACTATCCATCGGCTTCTTCCACTGCTTTATCAGCATCACTTTTGTTTTTGAAGACTACAAAAGCGAAACATGGAACGGCTTTGGACATCCAAACCTCTACTAGTTTACCATACTTTTCAAAAATGTCTTCCAGCTCATGCTTGCTGGCTCGAGAGCCTAAAAAACAAATAAAATGAAGGTTCTGTTAAGGAATGGAAGCAAGAAAATGAGTGAATTAACAGGACAATGCATAAGGCTGGTAATTTCTGATTTGAGGAGTGACACTATTACAATATGTTGTTACTTCCTGGTGATTACTGGTGATCCTGATTTGAGATACAGGGTTCTGGACACCTAACTTGAATGATGTGATGAAAAGTTTAACCTAGATGATACGCCTTAACCGGACGTCGTTAACAAATGTACTACATGCAGGGTTGTCTTGGCGTATAGAGAATGAATTTTTCTGACACATTTTAATAAAATTTCTTGACAATTGAAGATATACAAGATGGTTAAAAAGACATAATTTTAAATAGTTTCCATGCATGATGTGTTGCTCGAAATGTAAAACCCATTTTAGAAAGCAAATAAAGGTGACTTAAAAATTTTTTCTCTACACTTTCATCAGTTTCCCTGACTTTTTCTGCTACTCCCTGACTGTGGCAACCATGGAAAAATGGGAGAGCTAACAACTTTCTGCACTCCTCCACAAACTGAGCTTATTCCACAGCAACAGGCTGACGTGGACAATGAAAAGGAGGAAGTGAAAAGTCTTACTCAAGTCTCCAACGTGTAGACGAACTCCATCTTCAGGGGAGTAGCTGCGACCACGACTCCTGCTGCGGCTACGAGATCTGCTTCGACTGTAGCTTCGGGACTTGCTTCTGCTCCGCGATGCTGACTTTGATTTGCTTCTACTGCGGCTACGGCTCGAAGAACTGCTGTGTTTCGACATGATGTCAGATCTGGAGAAAATATAAATTATGTGAAAAATTTGAAATAATACTATATAGGAATTCAAGCTATTGGGAATTACCAACATTTTTAGATGCTTTCAGCTGGGCATGGATTTTAACATGTAACAGTCGCCAAATAAAGTCTGATTCCCAAGCTCTATCCAACAACTACACTTGAACTTGAATAGCTCAAAGACTTGAGTACACAGTAACATGGGGGAAATAAAAGTTTTTGGGGCTGAAAACCTTGGAAACGATGCTGCTCAAGCTTGTACATACATTTTCAGTTCAGGGGGATGATTTACTGTCTTATGTTGAAGTTTAAATGTACATTTCTCAAATAAATTTTCAAGGATAATAGTATCTTCAGCGTCCACCCCAAAAAGAGTTCTATGCTTTCCGAGTAAGACAGATATTCGACCATTTTGAATTATTATGTATTTACTTTCAATGCAGGACTGGAGACAAACGATGTTCTAGCACATTCAAAAAAGTGCATAACCTTTTTTGACATGTGCTCTTAATATATTTAGTCATAGAGTACATAGAGTCGTAGTGTGAATGGGAGAGCTAGCACCATGTTCTGCTCGACGAGTTCCAAGCCCAGTGTGCGCCGAGTTCGGGTCACTTTTTCGGGGGTGTTAAAATTTTGATATAGGGCTTAATGATAGTTTTAAGGGGGAGCAAGAAGACTCAGACGAGACTATTTGAAGATTAGCACCTGAGCTGAGGTGCTACACCTCCGTTTCAACAGTTTGAGGTTACCTCATTCCAAATCAGTCACCTACACCCACACAAATGCAATTCTCCAGAATAGATACTCCGCTTGGCTACTTATTATGGACCGTCTATTATCTAGGCTAAAGTAGAAAATATGGGATGAATCAAATTCATTGGTCACGATCTTGAGAATCAACATGCAGTATCTTCATACATGAGAGATATCCTTCGCTATTGCTTCAACAAGAACACCGATGGGATTGAAACTAGGACAGGGACTAAGTTAGTTAAGAAGTATTCGATATTGATAAAAATCATGAAAAATCTATGTCAGATGATGGTATTGAACAACTCACTGCTTCACAATTGGAACGGTGGGCGGATACAATCTGATAAGTAACTTAGCTGATAACTTCACTTGATCACTGATCGATTAGGGGTAGTCTACAGGAAAAGTGTCGGTAGGGCTTGTTCAGAATTTTAGAATGCGTGATTGAAAAGGAAGGAAATCAGTTCACTGATACTTGGTGATGAGAATAAATAGTGAATTGGTTACCATGTTACCATGCATGAGTATAACAATGTGGGACTTACGTACAGGATTTAAACTGAGTTCGACAACTGGTTAAACCGTTTGAGAAAAGATTCTATCGATCAAATATCCGACTCTGAATTACGCCGAAAATTACGCGAAGAAACACTTCTTCACTTCACTAGGACAACAAGGTAAAATGGTATTGACCATGCGATATGCCAATCATAATTTCCAGCAGTTAGGCTTCTTATTTTTCTACAAGCAAAACGTGATAAGGAGCGGAAAGGAGAGAGGGTAGAGGCAGGAGCGGGAACGGTGACGGAGAATGCTGTGACCGCTTTGACGTCTGATATTTCATGACGTCACGTAGAGCCAGCAGATTCAATACCGTGTTGCCGTTTTGCCGAGATAATGATGACCCACTCCAATCATAACAATCATAAGTTGATCCTACCGCGATGTTGGTAATACACATTGAATATTATGTCCTGCTGAATATTGTTGACTTTTGGTCTGAGGAA